CCGCACCTTCATGTAAGGAAAGCTTTCTGCAAGACAGCCTAATAGATGCTAAGAAGCACCAAAATTACAGCTACCTACTGTAATCTTAATTTAATGTGCTTCTGTGTAGCTGCATGCAGAACAGTTCTACTAGGAATTCACTTTCCTGTTTTCATTTCCCACATTTTCAACTAGGTATAGATATGTACATAGAAGTCATAAGGAACTTTACACTGTAGATAATTAAAAAGTCTGTAAGCAAATAATCATAGAATGTGCTAAGTTGGAAGGAGGATCCCATTAGGATCTTTGAGTTCAGCTCCTGGTCCTGCACAGAACACCCCAAGAATTCACTTCTTGAAATCTGGCAGGCTCAATGCTGTGACCACTTCCCTGGGGAGCCTGTTTCAGTGCTCAACCACTCCCTGGATGACAAAACTTATCTAACTTAAACCTCCCTGTGATACAATATCATGCCATTCCCTTGGTCCTGTCACTGGTCATGAGAGTGATGACATCAGTACTTGACCTTCACCTGATGAGGATGTTGAAGATCACAATGAGATCTCCCCTAGGTCTGCTCTTTTCCAGGCTGGACAAAGTGTCCCCAGCTGCCCCTGATAAGGCTTCCCCTCAAAACCCTTCACCACCTTCATGGCCCTTCTCAGGATGCTCTCCAATAGTTTAATGTCTTTTAATAATGTGGTGCCCAAAACTGCATCCAGGACTTAAGGTGAAGCCACCCCAGTGCAGAGCAGGGCGGGACAATCCCTCCCTTGCCCAGCTGGACACAGCCCAGGTGCTGTGTCTGATGCACAGCATGGTAGAACAATCTTACTAAACACTAGTTTATGTTGTCTATTATAGTGTGTGGCATTGTACCTGTGTTTGGAAGCTCACATACAATTACTGTGACTATCTGTAAACATAAGGAAATCTTAGGAAAGTACCTGTGATAATGGTCTGCAGCTCCAGTCTTTCTTTTGGGAGATGAGATTAACTGCAGCCTATATAATTTGTATTCCTCAATTAACTTGTATCCGTTGTTTCTGGCTTAGCTTTTGTATGAAGGCATTTGTATGAAAGATTAGGAAGGAATGTTGACTTTGGTGTATCCAATTCACTGATGACTTTCAGCTCCTACATCACTTCTGCCACAGATGATAAGTGATAGACCACTTGGAGGAGCTTAAGCCTTGGCTGAGATCTCACTACCATGCCAGATAGGAGGAATTGAATAGGGAAGGCAGCCAGAAGTGTTGGCAGAATTTATAACAGCATTCCTCCTTGAGAAAGCATAACTGTCTCTTGTATTCAGCATATTCCAGCTGCATACCTGGACTCTCCAGGAGCAGCTCAGTCCAGAACCAATTTTTATGGTCATGTCAGGGAACATATGGCTTTTTCTACCAGATGCAAACCTGTAACAATCATCAGCATTTTGGCCACCCAAAAGGACATTGCTGTAATACTCCTCTGATGAGGAGTCATAAATTGAAGATTGTGAAGACTGCTGAGGTTTGAAAGGAGCTATATATTAAAGGCTTATAAAGGCTTATAAACTAACTGCTGAACCAGAGTGTAGGTCCAACCTTAACTGTTTCGCTATACTCAGCAGTTTTCTTACTTTTCCTTTGTACTTCTTCCATTTACAAACTTTTCTCATGACTGTCCCAAGCCAAGGGACTCTGTAGCGTCCTGGCTGAGGGAGCAGGACATGCAAGTGTATCTTCTTGCTTCTGACATTAATGGACATAGAATTTTTTAATATTCTGAGATGTTTCATTCATGCCTTATAGACACATGTATTCACCTGCTGTTTGTTGACTACAGATCCCAAAAGAGATCTTTTTGAATGGGAAAAAGAAGGATCCAGCCCAGACCTTTCCATTAGCAAAGATACCACATTCTTCATTACACTGTAGGAAGAAATGCATCTGGCCTCTTACTGGGCGTGAAGGCAAAACATACAGTCTCATCTTGCTCTGACTGACCTTCCTGAAATATCTGAGGATTCCTGGCCTAAAAGAGGCAGGAATGATCTATGTTGTAGAGAGATAAGCTTTGTGAGCAACTGTGTGACAGTAGAGAAATTTAAGAAGCCTGTAATTGTAGGAAAGTGGTGGACATGCAGACTAAGGAAAGTTGTATGGAAGTATGAACTGCAAACTCAGTTTGCTCAGGAAAAACTGATCTTGCTTTTGCTTTGCTATATGGACCAGGTTAGATGGCTATTAGAGCTTCAGCAAATCTCCCCAGTTTCTCTTCTTTAAGTACTCACAAGCACTCCCCAGCCTGGGTGCAGGGGATACCACCAAAATCATGAGCTCCATGCATCCCTGCACAGCATGGATAATAGTAGGAGCCTGGCAGAAATGTGCAGATCAGTAGGCTCAAAGACACTGGAGATGGGCGGCACTGCCACCACCTCAGTGCTCCCTACGTGCCTCCACATGCTGCTCAGTGGGTTACAGGACCCTTGACCAACAGTGGTTGGTGACAACTGGAAGAGGCTGCAGCTCATTATCTCTTTAACAGGAAAAAATTCTTCACTGAAAGAGTGATTAGGCACTGGAATTGTCTGCCCAAGGAGATGTCAGAGTCACAATCCCTGCATCTGTTAAAAAAAGACTGGACATGGCATTCAGTGCCATGGTTTAGTTGATGAGTTTTGTTAGGTCATAGGTTGGACTTTATGGTCTCAAAGGTCTTTTCCAGCATAGTTTATTCTGTAATTCTGTGATCTGTCTACTGCATCTCCAGCAGCACATGAGGCTGGCTTTGCATCTTAGCTGGGAGACAATTTTCAAATGCAAGCCAGTGACAAAAGCATTACTTTGGTCCTAGAAGAAAAACCTTTTAAGAGAATTTAGGTAAAAGAACTAATTCTACTGAAAGTGTTTTACAACATAGAATAAAAATTACAATTTGATATTTTTGGTAGTGCAACAAGAAGTTACAAACAGAATGGTGATAGGAGGTGTAGCTGAGGTGCCTGTCCTCTTTGACCTGCTTGAGATGTGGTGATTGCTTGGATATCAGCCACCAAAAGTCATATGGCAGTAGCCTCATCCTCACCAGCATTTTTTTTTTATTCTACCAGAAAATGATGATTGATTGTTCTCTCCATATGTGGACTTTATAATAATGATCTGTCTTTTTCCTCAGAAAGCTGAATTACTGGCCTGAGATTTTTCAGTGCATACTTTAGGACCACATTGAAAGACCCATATACTCCTCTGAGAGACCATGGGATGTCTTAGAGGTTGCAAGACAGTGCAGAGTAGGGTCCTTAAGACTGCATATTGGTATGGGTGAAGAATCAGAATCATTTGGACAGTTTTGGACACTCGGATATTAAAACGAAGATTAAAAGGTGGTTTAGGTGATGAAAACTACCCTGTCAGTCATCACAAAATCTTTTTTCCGTATTTGAGTGACAAACAATGTCATCAGATCACAGGAAACCAGACAATTTAAAATGCAAGA